TGAGTTGGTCTTTGGACTCATGAACATAAAGTGTCTCTCCATTTAAGTGTTCTTTACTTTCTCTAACCAATGTTTTGTAAGTCTCAATGTATACATTTTGCAATGCTGTGTCAGATTTATTTTTCAGTACTTAACATTTTTTATGCTACTGTAAATGTCATTTTTTAAAATTTCAAATGGACTATTTAATTTTCTTTCTTTTAAATCTTTCCCTATTTTATTGAAGCGTAAAGTACACAAATCTTAAGTGTACAACTTGATAAAATTTTATATCTGAACACATTGATATAAGTACATTCCAGCATCCAAGAAGGTTCCCTCATAGCCCTTTCCACCTAAATCATCCTCTGATGCCCCTCAAAGTACTTTAAAAAGAAAAATTGCCCAGATGGTGTGGCTCAGTTGTTGAGCAATGACCTATGAACTATGAGGTCATGGTTTAATTGCCAATTAGGGCACATGCCTGAGTTTCAGGCTTGATCCCCAGTGGGGGGTGTGCAGGAGGCAGCTGATCAATGATTTTCTTTCATCACTGATGTTTCTCTCTCTTCCTTTCCCTTCTCTCTGAAATCAATACAAATATATATTTTTTTTTTAAAAAGGAAAAAGGAAGCCCAGGAGATAGCACCAGAAGATAAAGCTATTCAGGTAGGATTGCTGAAATTCAAAAGATAAAGGCATAGAAAAATAAAGAGAAGTCAGCATATGAAAAAAATGTTTGCTTAATAAGAAGTTCAGTGATGCTTAAATATTACACATTGATGTATATAAGCAATAAGAAAATTTAAGGGGTTTTGTCTATTATTTAGGATCCCTACTGTTTCCTAATATTTACTTCAGTTCCCCATTATTTTACAGTTTAGGAATACTGATATTGGTTCACTCTTAATAAAAGTGTTACAAAGTACAAAAAAAGAATTAAAAATATGAGGATATTGTAAGGAGCCTCTGGGACAACTTTAAGTGTACCAACATTCACATTATGGGGTACCAGAAGGAGAAGAGAGAGAGCAAGAAATTGAAAACCTATTTGGAAAAATAATGACAAAAATCTTCCCTAACCTGGTTAAGGAAATAGACATATAAGTCCAGGAAGCATAGACTCCCAAAAAAGATGAACCCGAAGAGGCCCACACCAAGTCACATCATATTTAAAATGCAAGAAGGTGGGTGGGAAGTGATCAACCAAAGAACTTGTATGCGTATATGCATAACCCATGGACACAGACAATAGGTTGGTAAAAGCCTGGGGTTGGGGCAGTCTAGAAATGGTCAATGGGGGGTGGGGAGTGGGTACATATGTAATACTTTCAACAATAAAGATTTTAAAAAATTAAAACAAAACAAAACATCATCTCCCTAAAACCCTGGAATCATCCTTGACTCTCCTATTTGCCTCACACACCATATCTAATCTACTATTAAAACCTGCCAGTTCTAACTTCAAAAGAAAATTTAATTAATTAAAAATAAATAAAATGCAAGAAGGTAAAGACAAAGAGAATTTTGAAAACAGCAAGAGAAAAGCAGTTAGTTACCTACAAGGGAGCTCCCATAAGACTGTCAGCTGACTTCTCAACAGAAACTTTGCAGGCCACAAGGGATTGTCACGAAATATTCAAAGTGCTGAAAAGCAGGGACCTACAATCAAGATTACTCTACCAGCAAAGCTATCATTTAGAATCAAAGGATAAAGAGTTTCCCAGACAAAAATGAGCTAAAGGAGTTAATCACCACCCGATCAGTATTACATGAAATGTTAAAGGGTCTTCTTGAAGAACAGAAAAAAACGTAAAAAATATAAATAATAATATGGTAAAAAATATAATAAAATGGCATATCTATCAACATTTAATTATTTTAAATGCAAATAGATGAAATGCTCCAATCGTAAGGCATACAGTGGTTGAATGGATAACAAATAAGACCCTTTCATATGCTGTCTACATATGCTGTGTCAGATCAAAAGATACACACAGACTGACAGTCAAATATCTTATAGAAGATATTTCATGAAATTGGAAATGGAAAAAAAAAAGCTGGGGTAGTAATACTTATATCAGACGAAATAGACTTTTTAAAAAAGGCTATAACAAAGACAAAAAATGACCCAGCCATTCCACTGTTGGGTATTTAATCAAAGAAACCCCAAACACTAAATCAAATAGACTTGTGCATTTATATGTTTACTGCAGTATTATTTACAATAGCCAAGATGTGGAAGCAACCTAAGTGTTCATCAATAGGTGAATGGATAAGGAAGAAGTGGTGCATATATACAATGGAATATGACTCAGCCATAAAAAAGAATGAAATCTTGCCATCTGCAAAAACAGGGATGGACCTAGAGGGTATTGTGTTGAATGAAATAAGTTAGGTAGGGAAAGACAAATGCCATATGATTTCACTTCTGGGTGAATTCTAAAAAGCCCCAAAATAAACCAACAAGCAGAACAGAAACTGACTCATACATACAGAGAACATTTTGACGATTGCTAGCGGGGAAGGAGCTTGGGGAGGATGGCAAAAAATGTGAGTGGATTAATAAGTACAAATTGGTAGTTACAAAATAGTCATAGGGATGCAAAGTATAGCTAGAGAATATAGTCAATAATATTGACACTATGTATGGTGTCAATGGGTACTACATTTATTGGGATGATAATTTTGTAAGTTATATTATGTCTAATCACTCGGTTGTACACCTGAAACTAATATAATATTGTACATAAACTAATTGAGAAATAAAAAATACTTAAAATGAATTTAATGGGGGACATGGCAAATGATGGTGTTTTTTAATAAGACAGAATCAATTGGATATCCATGTGGGGTGAAATAAACCTTGATTTCAACTGCCTACCTTTCACAAAAATTAATTTGAAGTAAATCAGACCTGGATATGCATGGTAAAATAATAAAGCATCTAGAAGAAAACAGAATTTTCTTCATGGCCTTGGCATAGGCAAAGCTTTATTATATAAGATACAAAGAGTATTGATCATAAAAGAGCAACAAACCCAGAAAGTTTTAACTTAAATATTTCTGTAATTGTTACCTTCCTCTCCATCCTTACAACCACTGAGCTATTTATGAGTCACTTTGGCCTGTGTTAGAGTCCAGAACAAGCCACCCTGAGATGTGCCTCAGTGGTATGCAGATTACTTTGAGGTAAAGGCAATTTTAGCTTCAGGCTCAAGAGAAAATTCTGCCCTCTTCCCCCAAGTACCTAGAAGAATTTGAATTAGAGGCCTTGCTTTTGAGAGATTATCAGTGATAACTTCTTTTGACCTACCTACTATATCAGAGATAACTTCTTTTGACCTATCTAGTATAGGGCAGGGCAAACTACTAATTACTGAATGTCCGCTTTTATCATCCTGCAATGACCTTTTGAAGTCCCCAGGGCACCTTATTTCATCCCTAGCTCAGGATGTCTTATATAGCTCAATCCTCCTTTCTATCTCTGAAACTGTCAGGTATGCATGGTCTGTGACTCATGTATGTGGTGTTCCCATGCACATAATATTAAATTTGATTTTCTCTTGTCAATCTGCCTCCTGTTAATTTGATTTGACCAGCCAAAAGAACTAGAGGAAAGAAAGGGGCATTTCCCCCTTCCCCACCCCTGTAAAACAGCAATGGCCTCCCAACTGCTGTTCTCTTTTTCCCTTTAATCATTCTCCCCGCTCCTCCCACTTTGGCCTCATGGGCGGCGGTGGGGCAGAGGGAACCCCTTCAATCATTCTTTTCAAAAAAGTTTTTTATTGATTTCAGAGAGGAAGGGAGAGAGAGAGATAGAAACCTCAATGATGAAAGAGAATCATCCCTCGACTGCCTCCTGCAAGCCCTCTACTGGGGATCGAGCTCTCAACTGGGAATTGAGCCAGCAACTACCTCCACCTGAAACAGAGTTCACATTATAGTTTATAACGCAAATCCTATTCTGGATTACCTTTTCCAATTCCATCATCAACTAATTCTAATTCATCTTTTGAGGCTCATAGGCTTCCACATCTTTGAGGAATCCATTCCTATACCTTATATTCCCCTAAGTGACCCACCTTGCTATCACATGACTATTCCCCTTCTTTCATTTTACCACTTAGAACAGCATTGGTTTAAGTTTGTGGAGCGCATTAACATCTTTGAGTCTCAGAGCTTAGTTAGATGTTGGGTGTACTAACACTCACGTTCATTTACTTGTTTATCTCTACTGGCTGAGCCACTTAACTCCCACTCCTTCTTGCACCTCCCACCCCTGGCCGGAGTACTTGCTGGAAGCTTCTTCTACCTGATCTGCCAGTGACAAAGCCCGGGGAGGGAGAGCCTAACCGACTAGGTTGGAAAGTCAAGCAGCACGGAGACTTCAGCCCACCTTCTTCCTTTCAGTGTCTTCTGCAGGAACAGGGTTTTCTTCTTAATCTGGGAAGCTAACTGGGAAGGAAACCTGCGCCAGTGGCGTTCAGGGGAATGGAACAGTGCCCCCGCACCGGAACCAAAAGACTTGGGTCTGTTAGCCTCTGCGGGGCAGAACGACTTCCGGCGACTTCTTTAGGGTTCCCAGTGCAAAGATCCTGGGAGTGACCCGCTGCCATCCGGGAACTTTCACATAACAGCAAGTGACGTCACGGGGCACGAAAGGCTAGTTCTGTCTCCAGTAACCAGGAGAGCTGTGTGAATTGTGACAATGGAGCGCGATGTGGCTTGTTATTAACAGGCATTTAAACGTCCCCAAACGCCACACGTTCCTGAGCGATGACAGTATATTACCAAAGTCCTTTTAACCTACTACCCCAGAGGCATCTGTCAGAGTGCGGGCGCGTGGCGTAAGAGGGCCAGCCGAGGCCTCCATTACCATGGCTGCGAGGGGCGGGGAGTAGGAGTGCTGGTCACCAGGAGGGGGTTGGGCCGGGAGACTGGGTCCTCCACGGTCCCGGCGAGCCCCGCGCCTGCTTTTCGCCTCCCTCCCCTTCTTCCCTCCCCTCCGGTCCGCTCCCTCCGCGGCACGCAGCGTGGCTGCTCGTTGGCTACTTAGAGCGGAAGCTCGGTTGGTGTCTCTCCAGAAGTTTTCCCCCTCGGGCGGCGGCGGAGCTGGTAACCTCCATAGTAGCAGCTGCAGCAACACAACATTGACTAGTAGAGATGGCGGCGGCTGCAGCTGGACCTGCAACAGCCCAAACGTACGTGTTTTTTCTTCTTTTTGCTATGTATTTTCATCCCCTGCCCCCCTTCCCTTGGTTAGCGCGCCCTGCTGAAGTCGTTGCTTTCTTGGCAGGTTTTGCCGGAGCTTCTCAGATGCTCTGATTGACGAGGACCCCCAGGCGGCGTTAGAGGTGAGAGAACCCGTCCCAGCCTCCTCTCCTCTGGGGAAGGCGGCGAACCCCGCCTCCTCCAGCACATGTCTTCCTTTCTGGGGCCGTGTCGGCTGTTTGTGCGGTGTTTCAGCCTCGTGCAGACAGAGCCAGCCTCCTCTTCCTCTCTTCTTTAATGGCTCCGCTAACCCAGACCCTGTTCCTGCCCCTCCCATTCCTAGGCCGTTTCTTCACCCTCGCAGGTCTTTAGAAAAACGTTGTCTGTTTCTGTAGTTGACATCTGTAGTTGACCGGGAAGGGTTTTGTTTGTTTGTTTGTTTGTTTTTTAAATGACATCTGACTAGATGAAGAAGTGAAATCCAAGCTTCATGATATTTAATTCGTTTTTTCGTTTGACAGTCACCCTTGCCATGCTTATGTCCCAGGCGATGTGCAGAGTGTATATGTCCTGCCACTGTTCATTATTGACTCATTTGTGTATTCCTCAAAACAATATTTTTTTGGAGTTGATGTGTGCGAGGCGCCAACTGCTAGTGATTTAAGTCGTATTTATATATTTAACTGACTTAAAAAAGCACTTTGTGTTTGTGTGAAGTGAATGGCTATAAAGCTATAAGAGAAAGTAAAAGGGCATGAGATGAGGTGGAAAGGAAACCCGAGCTTGGTCCCTTGGTGCCTCTTAGACCAGCATATGTATTTTCTGAATATGAAGGCCTTCAGATAAAGTGGTTGATTAGTCAGTTGTACTATAATACAGTGGGGCCTTGACTTACGAGTTTAATTCGTTCGAGTCCAAGCTCGTTAAGGAGCTCGTTAACTCAAATTACTCTGTCAACTCAATGCAAAAAATCGGCCGAGAGACAGCTGGTATCTCAAAAAACTTGTTAGTCGGGACACTCCTAAGTCAAGGCCCCACTGTATTTCCCAGTGAGGCCTCTGGGGTCAGTAGTAGAATCATGTTCAGGAGGTACTGAGAATTTCTATCCACCATTCCTTATGTCAGCTAGATAGTTATTTTCAGAATTTGTTATGGTTCTCTTAGGTTCAGAGCCTCCTTTGGAAAGTTGCTTTTAAAGGATATTGATGTCTTTATCTCACTTGTTTTGCTTTTTTTGTTGTTAATCCTCACCTGAGGATATTTTTCCCATTGATTTTTTTTTGGGGGGGGGGGCGGTGAGACAGAGAGAGAAACATCAATGTGAGAGAGACACATCAACTAGTTGCCTCCTGTATGCGCCCCAACTGGGGGTGGGGATGGAGCCTGCAACTGAGGTACCCTCCTTGACCAGAATAGAACTCAAGATTCTTCAGTCTGCAGGTGGGCGTTCTAATTACTGAGCCAAACCAGCTAGGGCTTATTTTACTTTTTATTTTTTTTTTTGAAGTACTAGAGGCCCGGTACACAAAAATTTGTGCACTCGGCGGGGGGGTCCCTCAGCCGGGCCTGTGCCCTCTCCCAGTCTGGGACCCCTTGTAGTTACCTACCCTTGGGGGATGACCATCTGCAGGCTTAGGCCCGCTCCCCAGGGGATTGGGCCTAAGCTGGCAGTCAGACATCCCTCTGGCAGCCCAGGAGCCCTCGGGGGATGTCCACTTGCCAGCGGGGAGCAGACCTAAGCTGCAGTTGGACATCCTTAGTGCTGCTGAGGAGGCAGGAGAGGCTCACACCACCACCGCTGTACTGGCAGCCATCAGCCTGGCTTGTGGCTGAGCAGAGCTCCCCCATGTGGGAGCACACTGACCACCAGAGGGCAGCTCCTGCATTGAGCGTCTGACACCTGGTGGTCAGTGTGTGTCATAGTGACCAGTCATTCCCAGTCTTTCTGCTGTTAGGGTCAGTTTGCACATTACCCTTTTACTATATAGGATAGAGGCCTGGTGCACGGGTGGGGGCCAGCTGGTTTGCCCTGAAGGGTGTCCCGGATCAGGGTGGGGGTCCCGCTTGGGTGCCTGGCCAGCCTGGGTGAGGGGCTGATGGCTGTTTGCAGCTGGTCACATCCCCTTCAGGGAGGGGGTCCCCACTGGGGTGCCTGGCCAGTCTGGGTGAGGGGCTGAGGGCCGTTTTCAGGCTGGCCGGCGACTGAAGCTCCTAGCTTCTACTTTTTTCTTTTTTTTTTTATTCTGGGATTTATTTACCTTCTATAATTGAAACTTTGTTGCTTTCGGAGCTCAGAGCCTGGCTGGGGCAGGTGGGGAACCTTGGCTTTTTCCATCACTGGAGCAAGCAAGCCTCCTGCTCGCTTCAGCTGCATGGCTGCCAGCCGCCATCTTGGTTGGCAGTTAATTTGCATATCACCCTGATTAGCCAATGGGAAGCGTAGCGAAGGTATGGTCAATTACCCTTTTTGTCTTTTATTAGATAGGATGACATATGTAGATAACACAGATTTGAAGTCTGCAACTAATTTAGTTGTGGTTTTACGTATGTGTATGTCACATCTACATATATAATAGAACACTTTCATCCTCAAAATTCATTCTTATTCCCAGCCAATAATTCTTTCCCATAAGGCAAACCTTGTTGTGACTTCCATCACCATCAGTTTTGCTTGTTCTTGCACTTAACATAAACAGGATTGTAGACAAGGTACTCAGTTGATTATAGGCACTCTGTCTTGCTTTAAACATGGGATACATTCAGATGTGTGGGATCTAATGTGTGTGGGATACATTCATATTGTGTGAATCCTAGTTCTTTTTCATTGCTGTGTAGTATTCCATTGTATAAATGTAGCACAATTTATTATAACAATGGGCATGGAATGAGACTGCTTGGGTTGCAATCCTGGTTTCATAATAACTTTGTAACCTCAGGAAAGTTCCTATTAGCACTCTGGATCACAATTCCTGTCTCTAAATTGGAACAAAATAGGACCTTTGAAAGTTTTTTTCTGAAGATAGGTAATGTAAGATACATGTTGAGGCCCCTGAGGTAGGTATTGTAGTTTCTTTGCTCTGTTGTTCTAACCACACTGGCTTTCTTTCCATTACTTGAATTTGCTATGATTAATTTTGTTGAGCAGCCTTTGGACTTGGCAGTTCCTGCCTGAAATATACTCACTGTCTTGTGACCTATCTCATGTTTTGCTTGGAATGCTCATCACCTTAGATTTCTTGTCTTCTCTGACCATCCTATATTTAATTTGGGCCCTAATGTAAGCATTAAGAGAGCAAGAAATTTTCCCTGGCCAGATAGCTCACTTGGTTAGAGTATTGTCCCAATGTGCCAAGATTTTGGGTTTGATCCCTCGTTAGGGCACTTTCAAGAATCAATCAATGAATGCATAAATAAATGGAACAACAAATCGATGTTTTTCTCTTTCAAAAAAAAAGGGGGGGGCAGGAATTTTGTGTATCTTGTTTACTACCATTGTGTTCTTAGTGTAGTGCCTGGGAGGTGATAGGCACTCAAATGTGCTAAATTAAATTACTCTTACCATAATTCTTGCAACAACTGTGAGGTGAATATTTGCATTTTCTAACAAGGAAGCTGAAGTTCAAGAGATTTAATTTGCTCAAGGGCCTATGGTTCAGAAATGATAAGTCTCTGGGTTCAATACATTAGGGTCATCTTTTGGAGGAGATGGTAGGATTGGGGGTGTATGATATAATGAAAGGTTTGATACCTGACTTTGAAGTAGCTGACCAGGGATAACTTTGTTGAGAGCATAGCTGGTTAGCATAAGCATGCATTGGTACCAGTTCTGCATGGTTATGTGGTTTTTCTCCATTATAGCTTAGGAAGGGAGAAGGGTTGATATTGTTTATCATCCATGAATGGGGATTAGCTGTGGCTGGAAGAAAAGAGAAAATGGAATCAAATTGGGATACCCAGAGCTAAAGGCCTTCAAACTTTCAGTCAGTCTGAGCAAGACTACTTTTGCTTTTTTTTTTTTTTTAATATGTTTTATTGATTTTTTACAGAGAGGAAGGGAGAGGGATAGAGAGTTTGAAACATTGATGAAAGAGAAACATCGATCAGCTGCCTCCTGCACACCTCCCACTGGGGATGTGCCCGCAACCAAGGTACATGCCCTTGACCGGAATCGAACCCCGGGACCCCTCTGTCCGCAGGCCGACACTCTATCCACTGAGCCAAACCGGTCAGGGCAAGACTACTTTTGCTTTTAATCTTAACAACTGTTTCCCTGTAAGTAGCATTTTATTTTATTTTATAAATTCAATTTATTGGGTGACATTGCATTTTTTAATAGTCCTTTCTTTTTATTTATTTTTTCATTAAAAAAATACTCTTATTGTTGAGAGTATTACAGATAGTCCCCTTTGTCCCCCATTGCCCCCTTCCACCCGGTTCCTGCCCTGTCCCAGGCTCACCAACCTATTGTCTGTGTCCATAGGTAATGCATGCATGCATGTAAGATCTTTGGTTAATCACTTCTTCCTCCTCTACTCCCCTCCCCTTCCCTTTGAGATTTATCAGTCTGGCCCATGTTTCCGTGTCTCTGATTCTATTTTATTCACCAGTTTATTTTGTTCATTAGATTTCTTGTTCATTTATTTTGATTTATAGATTCAATGTATTTATTGCCATTTTATTGTTCATATTTATCTTTTCCTCCTCCTCCTCCTCTTACTCCTCCTCCTCCTCCTCTTACTCCTCTTCCTCCTCCTCTTACTCCTCCTCCTCCTCCTCCTCCTCCTCCTCCTCCTCTTACTCCTCCTCCTCCTCCTCCTCCTCCTCCTCCTCCCCCTTCCCCTCCCTTCAATATTTCATGTAATACTGGTTTGGTGGTAATCAATTCTTTTAGCTTTTTATTTTCTGTGAAGCTCTTTATCTGACCTTCAATTCTAAATGATAGTTTTGCTGGGTAGAATAATCTTGGTTGCAGGTCCTTGCTATTCATCAATTTGAATATTTCTTGCCACTCCCTTCTATGGCATTTTAATTATGATGTGTCTTGGTGTGGTCCTTTTTGGGATCCTTTTGTTTGGGACTCTGCGCTTCCTGGACTTGGAAGTCTATTTCTTTCACCAGGTAGGGGAAGTTTTCTGTCATTATT